ACTTCTATAATTCATCTTTATTTCTTGTTTAGTTTTTATATTAGCCTGTCTTGGTAACTATAAATGTTGAAGTGAATATAAAGATGACTGAATTTAGAAATAAGTCATTCCTTGGGGTCCAGTCAAGATGGCAGTATATCACTTAGCAAAATGCTCTCTAGTTCTGTTCATGCTGCTGTGAAAGGTAAGAGCTCCTTCTTCCTTTCTGCTGTGTAGTATTCTATTGTGTAAATGTTCCACAGTTTTTTGATCCACTCATTTACTGATGGGCACTTAAACTCTTGCCAGCACTTGGCTATTATAAATTGCACTGCTATGAACACTGGGGTGCATAGGTTCTTTTGAATTGGTGTTTCAGAATTCTTAGGATATAATCCCAGCAGTGGAATGCTGGGTCAAAAGCCAGTTCCACTTTTAGGTTTTTGAGGAAATTCCATACCGTTTTCTACAGTGGCTGTACCAGTCAGCATTCCCAACAGTGTACTAGGGTTCCCTTTTCTCAACAGCCTCACCAGCACTTGTTGTTTGTTGTTTTATAATCCAGGTGATGAAAGACAAATACCATATGATCTCACGTATAAGTGGACTTAATCAACAAAACATATAAGCAAGCAAAATGTAACCAGAGACATGGAAATAAACAACAAACTGACAGTAACCAGAGGGAGGGATGAGAGCAATAATGGGGCAGGGAAGGGTCGTCAAGGATTGTGTACAAAGGACCCATGGACAAAGACAATGAGGTGGGAGGATTGAATGTGGGAGGTGAGGGTGGGTAGGGAAGGGGAGAGTAATGGGGGAAAATGGGGACAACTATAATTGTACAACAATAAAATTTTTACATTATGAAAAAATGTATTTTAAAAGATATTATGTAAAAAATAGAGTTTAATTGTTTAAAATAAAGAAATTTTTAAAAGATGGAAGTATAGATAAAGGTAGTCCTTGAATCTTTCCACAAGCACATCAAAATTACAACTAAACCACAGAACAACTATCATCCAGAACCTCCTTCAGTTTAGCTGAACAAAAGTCCTACAACTAAGGGTGTAAAGAAGAAACTACAGCGAGACTAGTAGGAGGGGTGGGGATTTGGAACTGCTGGTCCCACACCCATGCGTGGTAAATAAAATCAGGAGGGATATATTTGCTGTGGAGGTCCCACTTGTGGAACAAGGGGTCCCAGCCTGACACCAGGCCCCCAAGCCAAGGGTTCTAGAGCCAGGAAGAGAAGTTTCCATAATTTCTGGCTGAAAAAAACAGTGGGGGTTGTGGCTGAGTGAGATGGAGTGAAGCTGGAGTCCCAGGTGTTCCTCTTAAAGGCACCACAGAAAAATTTTCCTGGACTCACTCACTCTGAGCTCTAGCACTGGGGCAGCAGCACAAAAGGCACCCAGGACGTATGGGGAGAAACTAAATTGTCTGATATCAAGGTAAGAGCAGGAGGGGCAGCTTTCTCCTATGAGTGCTAGCAGTGGCCATTGTTACTTTTCTGAGCCCTCCCCTAACAGAGCAGGCAGGTGGGTCCTAATCTTCTGGGTAACATTATTTGTCCTGCTCTACTGATTCTCTGCACCTTGTAGGCCCACCCAAGTCCTTTTCAGTAGCTGTTTCATACAGAGACCTGTACTGGCTCATGCTTCAGACTCCTAAAATCTCTCAAATAAGTAGCATCTGGCCTCAGTGTGCCCCATACCTCTTACTAACTGGCCCCACACCCGACATTAGCAGCAGCCAGCATTGGTTCCCAGTTTGACCTCTTCCGGGCAGGGCATAGTTGGCAGCTAACCTTCACCTGCACCTCTTGGGAGGCCCCAGAACCAGCATACCCAGTAGACAGCTTCAGACCACATTGAAACACCACCCAGCCACCTCCACAAGCAACACAGGGGACAAACCCAGCAGCACCAGAGCCCTGCTGAAGAAAGTCCTGCTCTGTGAGGTGGGCCCCTGCATATCTAATCCTCCATGGTGGTCACAGCCAGTCCTTAGAGCCAATTGGCCTATGGAAAAATCCCATTGATGTGCCAACAGCAATCTGCAAGGCACAACTAAAACAGGAGGGTGTACACAGCCCACACAAGGGGGAGTGCACCTGGAGTGCTCAGCTCAGGTGATCAGGGAAGTTGTTCCATTAAGCCCTACAGGACACCTACTTATAAGGCCACTCTACTAAGCCTGGGAGATGTAGCAGCTCTACCAAATACATAGAAACAAACACAAAGAGACTGCCAAAATAAGGAGACAAACATGTCCCAAATGAAAGAATGACAAAACTCCAGGGAAAAAAAACTGAACGAAATGTAGACAAGCAATCTACTAGATGCAGAGTCAAAACATTGTTTATTAAAATACTCAATGATATCTGAGAACTTCAACAAAGATATGGGAAATGTAAAAACAAATATAACAACATAAGAAGAACCAGTCAGAGATGAATACATTAACTGAAATGAAAAATATGTTATAGGAAATCAACAATGCAGTAGATGAAACAAAGGATCAAATCAGAGATGGAAGATAGGAAGCAGAAAACACCCAATCAGAGCAGCAAGAGGAAAAAATGAATTTAAAAAATCAGGATAGTATAAGGAGCCTGTGGGACAACTTCAAGCATACCAACATTTGCCTAAGAGGGATGACAGAGGGGAAGAGAGAGCAGCAATTTGAACACCTATGTGAAAAAGTAATGACAGAAAACTTCTCTAACTTGGTGAAGGAAACAAGCCCAGGAGGCACAGTGTCCCAAACTAGATGAACCCAAAGAAACACGCTGAGACACATCATAATTAAGATTCTAAAGGTTAAATTGAAAGAATCTTAAAAGCAGCAAGATAGTTATCTACAAGAGAGTTCCCATAAAACTTATCAATTGATTTCTCAAAAGAAAGTTTGCAGACCAGAAGGAATTGGCAAGAAATATTCAAAGTGATGAAAAGCAAGAACATACAACCAAGATTACTCTTCCCAGGAAATCTGTCATTTAGAATTGAAGGTCAGATAGCTCGCCACCCAAGATAAAGCTAAAAGAGTTCACCACTGTCAAACCAGTACGAAAAATGTTACAGGGTCTTCAGAAGAAGAGGAAGAAGAAGAGGAGGAGAAAGATATTAAATATATAAATAATAAAATGGTCATAAATACATACCTATCAACTATTACTTTAAATGCAAATATATTAAATGCTCCTATCAAAAGACATTGGAAGCTGAATGGATAAGAAAACAAGATCCTTACATATGCTGTCTACAAGAAAGTCACTGCAGATCAAAAGACACACAGACTGAAAGTAAATGCATAGAAAAATATGTTTCATGAAAATGGAAACAAACAATTGAAAAATGGGTAGCAATGCTTATACTAGAAAAATAGACCTTAAAACAAAGGCTATATAATAAGACAAAGAAGGACTCAGCAATTCTAATTCTGAGTATCGAAAGAAACCCAAAACACTAAACTGAAAAGACAATATTGTACATCCATATGCTTATTGCAGCATCATTTACAATAGCCAAGATATGAAAGCAACCTGAGTGTCCATAAATAGATGATGAAGTCACACGTATAATGTGTCCATCAGTAGATGATAAAGAAGTGGCACATATAATGGGTGGGGCAAAAGTAGATTTGCAGTTGTGAGTACATGAAACACAGTGTTTATTCTGGTATTATTTATTATTGTATTATTTCCCATATGAACAACTATAAATCTGCTTTTGCCCCATCCTGTATACAATGGAATATGACACAGCCATAAAAAAGAATGAAGTCTTGCCATCATCAACAACATGGACAGACCTAGAGCAGGGGTGTCAAACTCATTTTCACCAGGAGGCCATATCAGCGTCGCAGTTGCCTTCAAATGGCCAAATGGAATTTTAGGACTGTATAAATGTAACTACTCCTTAACAGTTAAGCGAGAGCTCGGTGCTGCCACTGAGTGGAAACAAGGTTCTGGGCCAGATAAAACAAGGTAGAGGGCTGGATTTGGCCCTTGGGCCTTAGGTTTGTCACCTGTGACCTAGAGGGTATTCCACTGAGTGAAATAAGATAGAGGAAGACAAATGCCATATGATTTCACTTATGTGTGTAATCTAAAAAACAATAAATGAACAAACAAAACTGAAACACACTCATAGATACAGAGAACATTTTGATAGCAAATGGGAGGGGATCTTGAGGGAAGGATGAAAAGTGAAGGGATTAATAACTGAGCCTGTGTGGCACTGTTGGTCGGAGCCTTGTCCCATAAACCAGAAGGTCACCAGTTCTTCCTGGTCAGGCCACATACCTGGCTTATGGGTTTGGTCCCCAGTCGGGGCACATACAAGAAGCAACTGATCAATGTTTCTGTTTCACATCGATGTTTCTCTCCCCTTCTCTCCCTCCCTTCCCCCTCAATAAGCATGCCCTTAAGTGACGATTTTTCTTAATGTAGTATGAATTGGTAGTTACAGAATAATCCCTGAAATGTTAAGTACAGCATGTGGAATACAGTCAGTATATTTTAATAACTATATATGGTCAGATGGGTACTAGATTCATCAGGGTGATTGTCTAATAAGTTATATAAATGTATAATCACTGGGTTGTACACCTAAAACTAATATAATACTGTATGGCTGTATAATACTATAATTGAAATTTTTTTTTAATTATCTAAAGTAAAAACATCATTTCTGTTCACTCTTAGCTAAATTAAATTTCAAATAAGCCCTTATTACTTTAAAGGTATATATGCTTAAAATATTTCTAATTTCAAATTAACTGTTTTTTGTTTTTATATAACTACAAATTCTCTAGGCAGAATTGCTCTGAGACTTTTGTGACTAAAAGTTTTGGTTGAATAAGTCTGCAAATGGAACAATTTAGAAGGGAAAAGTGCATAATTAAAGCTTGAATTATATAGAAATGCTGTGAAATAGTTTGGTGTAAACTCTATGTAATAAGATGAAAGTAATCTTGAAATCCTAATACGCTTTGTTTTTTCCTTTTTGCAGAGTGTATATAAATGTGACTTCCTGAACTTGCAGCTTCAACAACCACTCCAGCTTGCACAGGATGCTATAGATGCCTTTTTGAAGCAGCTGAAAAACCCTATTGATTCTCTTCCTGGAGAACTTTTTCATGTGGTTGTTTTCTCTCTCCTTCTTTCTTATTTTCCATCACCTTACCAGAGATGGATTTGCTGCAAGAAAGCCCATGAATTGTTAGTGTTAAATGGTTTATTGCTTATCATCACACCTGATTCCTCCCATCAGAATCGTCATGCAATGATGATGAAAAGCTGGAAGATTGCTATAGAGTCCCTGGGCTTTAAACGTTTCAAGTATTCAAAATTTTCACACATGCATCTGATGGCATTTAGAAAAATATCCCTAAAAACTACAAGTGACTTGGTTAGTAGGAACTACCCAGGGATGTTATATATTCCTCAAGATTTCAATAGTATAGAAGATGAGGAATACTCTAACCCTTCCTGCTATGTTCGATCAGATATAGAAGATGAACAACTGGCATATGGTTTTACAGAGCTCCCTGATGCTCCCTATGACTCAGATTCTGGAGAAAGTCAAGCCAGCTCTGTTCCTTTCTATGAGCTAGAAGATCCCATATTACTTTTAAGTTAATATAAAAGCAAAAGGCCCTTTCAGTCCAAACTCCTAAACTAATTACTTAACACTAATCAGAAATACTACCATGAACTCAGTACTTAAAACCTGGTTTGCATAGAAAAATGGAAAGGTTGACAGAGTTTGTTATTTTTTTCTATTTCTGAATTTTTTAAATGTATTCTTATATAAAAAGGTTAAAGTTTCATGCAGACTGACCTTTGTCATAGCAGAAACCACTGTTTCTTTAGCATTTAACATTCAGATATCACTGAAAGGTAACTTTATGTCTTTAGTGTCATTGTAAAAAATGAAGCATAATTTCCTATGTATTTTTTCCTCTTTTCAATGTTGACTTTAAACCATTGCAGTGAGAAACTTTAATATATGTGAAAGCTGTAGATTGCACATTTAACAAGTTAAATGTATCACAAAGATAGATTGGTTGAGTTTTGTGATATACTTACTCTTTTTTCTAACTAAATTATTATGTTACAGAAAGCCATTTTCTGTTTCGTTTTGTCTGGTGACCCAACATTTCCTGAACTTTTTTGAAATAAATGGTAATTTTTTTCCTTGTTCTTGCTTATTTGGCAACATCAGACATTGCAGGAGAGATTTCCTCAAAAGTATATAATATAATTTGATTAGAACAGTGCAAAAATCACCATTGCCAAAGTATTCAATAGAATTTGTATGTCTTTCTTGTGGATTGGGCTTTGCTGTTGAATATATTTAACTGTGGGAGTGTACTTTATTAAATTTAGAATTCATTTACAAACTTTTCTATTTAAGCAAGAAACAATATAATACTCAATATTGACCTGAAACACTTTTGTAAAAGTGTTTGCACTTGTAAGAGAGCTTATATTTTATCAGGTCAACTGTTGTAAAGGGTCCTTGCCTCTCCATTAAGAAGATGCTGCACTACAAGTCTGAAATTGTATAGAAAATATTAAAATTAACCCTCTGCTGGTAGTCTCATAAAATGATTTTGAGCTTTTGGTATTCTTACTTCTATCTAAATCCTAGCTACAGATTTTCTTTGAAAATATAAATCATTAGTTGGCTGCTGGAATTTTCCCTTTCCACATTGATAAATGTCTTTCTGTTTCTGAATCAGAAACAAATGATTAAAGAGAAATATATGCCCAAACAAGACAAAATTGAGTTTAAAGAGATAAGAAGATATAGTCCATGTTTTCTTACCAGCCAGAAATTGTCATGTAAATTATCATTTTGAAGAGTGCCACTGTGTGGAATTTTTTTCAAGTTGTTTTTACATTAAAATTACCTCATACTGAGGTTTCTGCACTGAAATATCAGTTTCAGATTTCATGCTTAATGTATGTATGTGTGTTTAAGGGAAGTATTTTCAATAGTTGATCCTAAATTTCATAAACTCTGATAAAACTGCTGTTTTTGTGCTTAGTGTGAATTGCTGTAATTAACTTTGAAAGTCAGAATTTATTTGGAAATACAAAACGTATCCTTTAAGATATAAATGTTTGAGTGTACCTGATATTTCAAATTAAATTTCACATTCTGAATCAATAAAAGTAGTAAGATTGTAATTAACCTAAAAAACTCAGTTAACTAAGTGCAATAAATATTAGTTGCTCAAATATACCAGAAGTAACTTGAAATTTTTCTTTTACTTTCAATAGCATAAGATTCTTTAATAAGATTGACTTTTCTTTCCAATTATGCACTGCAGGTCAGGTTTTTGAGCTCACCCAAAAGAAGAAGAAAAAAGCATTGTGTTCAGGATAACAAAATACTGTATTCAAATCATACTTATTTTACCATACTGTTTTCTTTTTTACTTGACTAAATACTATCTTAAGGGCAAAGGAAAAAGTATACCAATGAAAGTGCTTTGAAAGTAAATGAAAACTATGATTTGAGAAGCTGGTGTAAGTACTACCTTGGAGTCACCCTTTGTGTTATGGCTAAATGTTGGTGCTATAAATTCTTCTGGTTGTTTACAGATGTTGATCCTGCTTATGCTCCAAAGTGTGCATGATGTATTTTAAGTAGTTTACAGGAAATATAAAACCTGTACTCAAACCTAGTATAAATTTGTTTGAATTTATAAATATCATTTGTTTTGTAAGTTCAGCTTATTCAAATTAGGTTGGCACAGGATTTAAACTAATATAAATTCTACCAAAACCAATTCAGTGCATTAGTATTAAAAATAAGTAGTCATCTGGCATGGTGTCAGATTATATATGTAATGACAAGAAAAGTTAGTAGAGTCTTCTAATACTTTATTAGAATGGGTGCTCTTGAGAATGATTTTATTTGGGTATAGAGAAGTTAAAGGGCCTGCTGTTGCATTCACAACAGGATTCTCCAAAATAATTTGGTGTTTCAAAAACAAATGATCATTTGGTTGGATTCTTCAAAATCAAATGGTTTATTGCCAAGTGGTGGGAGGTAGCATACCTGAAAATGTATGTTTGTGTTTTTTGTATTTCACATTTTGTGAACAAAGCACATTCATTAAAAATTTTTAATTTTCCAATATTCATTGTCTGTTACTTGTAAACTGAAAGTTTTGTGGTCTTTGAGCTATCTCAGTAAGTGAATTCAAAATGGGGAGGCAATTTAGAACTTGAATGACTTAGAATGTTCTACTGGGTTCATCCCATTGTACTCAATCATATCATACTCTACTTTCCTTGAAAGTTAACTACATTAGAGATAATTTAGGAAGCCAACAAGAAACAATCATAGTCTCCAAATTGTCACAGGCCTTTTCACTAAGAATCCAAAAGATAACATGTTTCCCAAATCCAGGAATGGATAAAACATTCCCTGGAAATAAAGAAGATGAGTGATTGCTGGAAAGAACAGGTAAGCAGGCCAAATACCTGGAGACTGTCTGCAAGAAAAAAGATGCATAGGAAACAGACCTGAAAGAGAAAGAGGAGCTAAATGCCTTGACAGTAAGAGAAGCTTCATGTTTTGTAACACCACTGAAACATTAGCACAGATTAAAGTACCACAGTATAGGTTACTCTGAAAACAGTAGAGACCTGGGAATTTGAAAGTAAGAAGATAACATTTTGATAGCAAGGAAAGCTGATGATCTGGAGCTTGTGTAACTAGAAAAATTATCGAGGTAGCAAGGACTCTGGTGGCATGGAGAATGGTGCCAGTTGAAATGAGGAGCTACAGAATAAGTGCTAGGGTGTCACAAACCATCTCTTTAGTGTTGCTTGATTTATTAATTGAGGATTGATTACTACACTATTACACTGGACTAGGTACTATAAGGAATAAATACTGTCCTCAGGGCTGACAATGTAACTTAAAAAAAAACAGCATTAGTACAAGGCAACAAAAACTTTAACATTGCAGAACAGCATATTCTTGTACTGTAGTATTTGGTGATACATATCAATGAATTCTGTTCATGTGACTGTAGGGAACTGCTTCACGAGATGTGGAAATGTAGCCCAGCACGCACGTGGAAAACCAGTGGGGGGTGAGTCAGCACGCAGGACCACACCCATGAAGAAGTTCTCCCATGGGAAATCAGGCCTGCATTATACCTAGGCTGCTTTGTGTCTTGCTCTTGCTAAAACTCACCCTGAGTTCAGGCAGCAAGCCCTTGCTGCATATCTTTAAAGTAACTTCCTGAAGTCTGTGCTAATTCTCCCAAGGACTGAAGTGTAACCTGACCTGTTACTCTCATCATTCCCTTCCATTTGCAACATTTTTTTCCTTGTTAATCTGTAAGAAGTAATCTATAACATCCCTTCCTTGCTATCTGTAAAAAGTGATTACCTAAAGCAGACCTAAGTATAGTGAATAAAAACCTTCTTTGATGTATGCAATTAGAAAGCCAATAAAAACCTGTCAAGGCAAGGGTCAGCATGCTCTCCCCTTGAGAGAGTAGCCATGCTGTCCCTTTTCCTCTGCAGGACTTGGTAGTCCATGTGAATGTCTCATCTCATCCATAACGCCACAGACACTGCAGGCCGGTATTTATGTCACATGACACTTCAGCACATTGCTCATATCCAATCTAGATGCAATTTATTTAAATATATGTATCCCTCATGGAAGTGCCAAATGTAGATGATGTGCTAATTCACCCATGTCAATCCTCACTCCCTCCTACACCTTCTATGTTAATATCCTGGGGTGGAGGGGGGCAAGCCTATGCCCCCTTTTGCCCTAACTAGTACCTCTGCCTAGAATTTCTTCCTTTTATACTGGATTTGCATGGCTAGTTTGTTTCTGTTACTCAGATCTTAGCTTATATGTTACCTCCTTAGGAGGACCTTCCCAGTCCACATAATCTAAAGTAGTCTCTTCACATAACTGTAAAGTCTCTGAATAACTCTAATTATCCAAAGTTTATATGTTTCTGTGTGTGTGTGTGTGCGTGTGTGTGTGTGTGTGCAGGCAAGGCTGCTTTTGTATTTTCAGCCTTAAAATGTGCCTTGCACAAACAGGTGGATCAATAAATATTTACAAATGAATTCATTTTACTAAAGGGTGATGATACAAGACCACTGCTGATACTTAGTTTATGAATTTTGGGGGGTGGTCTGGTTTTGTTTTATATAGTTTATAAATATATTCTCAGAATTGGAATATTTTTCAATTTATACTTCAGAAAAGTCTCAATTGGTAGAAAATGTAGCTTAGATCAATGCTAAGTGACTGGAGCTATATAACTTTTTTCTCCCTTCTGCTTACCCCTACCCATTTAAATTTCTTACATATAAATCTCAGATCCTACTTTTTGTTGTTGTTGATTTTTATTGATGTTCAAGTACACTTGTCTCCATTTCCCCACACACAACTCCCCCCGCCCCACCCATCCTCACCTCCCACTCTGAATCCTACCCCACTTTGACTTTCTCCATGTGTCTTTTATATAATGTTCCTTGATGACCCATCCCCTATGTTTCCCCATTAACCTTCTCCCCTCTCCCTTCTGGTTACTGTCAGTTTTTTCTTTATCTCAATGTCTCTGATTATATTTTGCTTGCTTGTTTTTTTGTTGATTAGGTTCCACTTATAGGTGAGATCATATGGTATTTGTCTTTCACCGCCTGGCTTATTTCACTTAGCATAATGCTTTCCAGATCCAGATCCTACTTTCTCACATGTCTCTCAGTACTATCAACTGCCTACCTTCCTCTCATTGGAGTAAAAGAATTTAACTTTGTAAACCATCAATAACATTACTATTGAATACATTTTTTAAAAGAAAGATTTAGTTAATTAAAGTAGTGCTCCAGCAGTCTTTTAATTTGTGTAAGGGATACATTCATTACTCCAACTACTTTCCACTGGCTTTATATGCACATAGGTTTTCACAGTAAACACTATGACATCTTGAGGAAATAGTCGCATAGTAGGGATACAACACATGCTGACTGTTATTATAGCAAATCCTTTAGTAACCCTGTTCCTTTTTTCTTTCAGTCTTGCATGTTCTTTGCCCTCCATGCACATTGAACACTTCAGCCCCACATTACCACCCAATTCAGCATCTTTGATCCACTTACAACAAAGCTAAGCAAATTAGTGAGTGTTAAATTTTC